GAGCTCAGGTGAGCGGGCGCGGGCGGGGCGACGGCGGCGCCTGCGGCCGCGGGGGCTCTTCACTCGCCAACACCGGGGAGGCCGGTGACCTCTTGGCCGCCCGCCTCGGAGGCTCAGATGGCTCAGGCGAAAATAAATGCGAAAGCCAACGAGGGGCGCTTCTGCCGCTCCTCCTCCATGGCGGACCGCTCCAGCCGCCTGCTGGAGAGCCTGGACCAGCTGGAGCTCAGGTGAGCGGGCGCGGGCGGGGCGACGGCCGAGGCCGCGCGGCGAGTCGGCGGGGCATGATCCCGGGCAGGCTGCAGCTAGGGAATTCGCCTGCTTGAGGTTTGTTTTCCGGGGAGAGGAAGCAGTTTCGTCCGTTTCTTGGTGTACTTCCCTTCCCTGGTCTGGGAAAAGCCGCATTCATTGAAGCAGAAGCGGGGAGCGTGTTCTTGGCGGTCACGTTCTCGAGCAGACTGGCGCGCTGGGGAGCGGAGATCGTAGGTCAGGGAAGACTAAAGTTAGGGTGACTTATTTGAGCTCAGAGACTGTGATTCTCGGGCCTCCAGAACTTGTAGAGGTTTCTTTGTAGCAGTGTGTGATCTTCCCCAATGCTTTTAGTGTCTTGTCTTCCTATGATGCAAGTTCTAGAAAAGCAGCAGTTTAGTGGTCCCAAGTGTCAGTGATTAGTTTCTTGATTTCAAAAGCACTTGTTAGACATCAGCAATATACTGATAGCAGAATTAGAGAGGAATGGGGCCAATGAGGGGCCACGCCGTGAATGGTGGATGGAAATGCAGCTTCTCTTTCCTCCTTAACTCAGCATATTTTATGCAGCCATTTCTAGTCACTCTATCCTGTACCTTCTCCCTTAAAAGACGCTGTGACACCTGCTTGAAAGTGCTAGTCGCTGAAAAGGTTGGACAGTCACAGTCTTACCGTCTTAACTGTTCAGGATTTTATTGCATAGGTAATAAATGGTAGGCTTCTCTAGAATTTCTAAGTAATTTGTAAGTCTGGAAACACTATTCCTTTAACAGTGGACAAAACTTTTATGTACTATATAATCATTTCTCACTCAGGACTCTATGCAGGTGTAGTTAAGCCCCCTTTCAGTCCCCCAATCCCCACCACTCCCCCACAAACACATTGCACAGAATTTTGCCCTATAGTTTTCACCTGGTCTTGGTGAGTAAAGCGGTATGTGAGGCAAAAGTTCTAAGAAGCACTGAATATGTCTTTCTCTCTTGATTAACATAGTAAAGGATGCCTTTCAGTATATGTTATTACGTGAGGCAGTTATTAGTTATTATTATATTACTACCCTGAGAAAAGAGTCAGAAAGTGAGATTTCTCACACACTAATGTCATGGATGGACATTATAAATCCTTCAGCTAGAAACCTGAGCCAAAACCACATTCTGGGGTTCCCAGAATGAGACAAATGGAAGAAAAGTAAAGTAATTCTTCCTTGGGCTTGAACCAGTTCAACCCTGAACACATTCAACCCTCAGAAAGAGTGGAGCAAACTCAGAACTCTGTGGCCTCAGCTGCTTTACCGCTCCTCTGAGGAATACTTTTTATGGTTCAGACAGAGGAACATGTAATTTATAGATCTCCCCAGGTCTTTCAAACATCAATGCCATATTTTCAACCATTTCATATCTCTCTCAAGTCTGAAAGAATTTTTTCTTAAAGGAATGAGAAGGTTGCCCCTCCTTCCTTCAAGCTGAGTCATTGTCCTCACACTTGATTTAATGCCTCAGAGTATATAAGGTACAAAGCCAGAGAGCCTGTGGTTCTCAGTATTACTCTGTTCTCGTGTTTGAATATAAAATGAAATTTGATTTCTGTATACTGATCAAAATACAACTTGCTTAATTAGCCCTTAAGCTGAAGAGAACTAATTAATATGTGTCTAATTGTTCAGATAAGGGCGTTTCTAGTAATTTTAGAATTGTGTAAATTTTGCTGTTTCCTTTAAAAAAAAAAAAAGGAATGCTGACTAGAACTAAGAAGATGCTATTGCTGATCCATGGGCAAGGTCACAGAGAAGTACATTGTCAAAAACCAGAATCATGCCTAAAGCATCAATACTTTAAAGAAAATGTGCTATTTGAGCCTCCCTGGTGGCACAAAGGGTTATGTCTCAGCACTATGATGCTGTCTGCAGCCACTACAGCAGGAACTTAATTCCCAGCGGGGAGCTGACCCACAGGGTGCAGCAGACCTCTCCCATCTCACCCGCTCCCCGGTTCAGCAGTGTACTTCAGTAGATCTGCCTGTTCTGCCTCCACCTCTGTCTTTGGAGAATCCTCTCAGCCCCCACACCTCTAGCCTGAACCCCAGTTCTTATATTCATAAATAAATATTTGACATTAATATTTAAAAGTAAAGAAAATGTGATATTTATATATAATTTTGCTCCAATAGTTGAATTTTATGTTAAGGAATGCAGACAGTGGAGTGTGTTAGGTAGAGTAAAACGTTTAGATTTGTACTGAAGCATGCCTTTATTCTTCCCACGCGTACTGGTTTTGACCACTGTGTTGTTAGAAACTTCTACAGCAGTAAGAACAGAATTATGCTAAATGCTTTTTGACCCTGAATATGAACTGGTGTCCCAGATGTTACAAATGCTTTGAATGTCTGGCAGCATACATTTATTTTTAATACCTCACATGACACTAGGCTTTCTTTTCTGACTGTTTCCGTCTCCTTTATTGCTTTTCCCTAAAAAGGTTATTTCTCCCAGTGTTCATTACTGATTATAAACAGAGTCTGATTTTTATATTTGTCAGTGGCTGGTCACGCCTTGCTGAGTAACAATCATTACTTTTAAACAGTTTCCATAATTTAGAAGTAACATGTATAACATTTCTTCATTTAATAAGCACATATATAATATGCAAGGCCCCATGCCTTTGTGGAAATGACTATTATCTTCATTCTCCAGTGTAATTGATACTTAGAAAATTGCTACTTAGGAAGTTAAATGACTTGTCAGGGGTCACACAACTAGAGAATAATGGACTCCAAACTTACACCTGAATTAAACCTAGGAAGACTGGTTGTAGAGATTAATACTTAATACTTTATGTTTGACTTTTCAAAATGTATAAATAATGCAAGAATAAATATATTATTTTACAAAAAGATAAACAGTCAAGTTGACTTTTTTAAAAGATTTATTTATTTGTACATACAGAACTGGGGTGCAGGCCAGAGGCGCAGGGGCGGTGAGAGGCTTCACCAGAGACAGAGTGGGGAACAGAACAGGAAGATCCACGAAGTACACTGCTGAGGGGAGCAGCGGGCGGGTCAGGAGAGGTCTGCCACGCCATGTGGTCACCTCCGGGGCAGGCGGGAATCGAACTCATGCGTAAGTGCTGTGCTTTAACCCGCTGCGCCACCAGGGAGGGCCCAAATTGACTTTTAATTTAGTAAATAGTGAACTCCCACTATGTGGCACCATTTAGTGGCTCTTAGAAGTCTCTGAGTGGTCATCAAGATTTGGAACATGGGTTGGAGAGAATGGCACAAGAATGGAGCAAGATAGAACTGGGAGATTAACTGCTGGCAAACTCTCCCAACTGATCATGCTGTCGCTTCCTTCCCTTTCTATCAACCTTTGTGGTGGCTTACACTGTAGCCAGGGAATGAAGGTTGGGAAGGAGGGTGGTATGAATTTTTAGTCTGTCAGAAAGTTTCTTGTTGCTTAAAGTTTGTTAAAGTATGCCTGTGTCCCTGGTGTCAGAAAACAAGATAGTATCTTGGTTGTTATTGTATAACAACTATAAATTAAAGGAACAATTCTTATGTACATTGTTATTTGAACCATATGATACCCTTTGAGGTAGGAAGAGGATACCTATTATGTCTTGTAGAATGAGGGAACTGTGACTCAGAGGACTTTAGTGGCTTGCTTAAGGCCACCTTACTAAAGGTTTACTCCTAACACTAAACACTAATCCCACTTTTACACTACTGAGACCATCTCAGCAGTAAATGCAATTTAGTATTTTGGTAGTGGTTAGGAAAAGCCTTCAAAAATCTTACCTTGCATAGAATCTAAGTGATTATTATAATATTCCTTTGTTATAGGAATGTTAAATAGGAAATGGGACAGTAATGATAAGAACCTCTTTAGAAATGACTCTTTTCAAGTAAATTCTTAATGGGACTGTTTGCCATTTCATTTTATGAAATCACAAATTTTTGTTGTTTATAAGCCTTCATAATGGTAATTATGTAATAAATACTGTAAAGGTTGTTTTTCAGCATCAATTCTAGCTAGGCACATTACACATTTTAAAAATATTTATTTTATTTATTTATGCATATAAGAACTCTGGTGCAGGCCAGATGTGCAGGGGTGAGAGGATTTGCCAGAGACAGAAAAGCAGGACAGGGGGGTTGACTGAACCGCACTGCTGAGGGGAGCAGTGGGTGAGAGAGGAGTGGTCTGCTGCGCCATGTGGGTCAGCTCCCTTGCAGGGGACTGAACTTGTGCTGCAGTGGCTGTTGGTTGCTTCACAGTACTGAGATTTATCCCCTTGTGCCACCAGGGAGACTCCCATTACACATCTTAAGCTCACTTATAAATTTTAATTCAATGTTTTCAGTCACTATAAATCTGTACCTGTTTTACTTCATTCCTTTACAAAACTATCTCATTATTTCTGTGTCCTTGGTGAGGAAATTGAGGTGAAGAGTTTAAGTAAACACCCAAGGTCACACAAATAGTGGCAGTACTGGCTCAAACAGTTGGACTGAAGAGCCATGGCACTGTGTACTGTATTAGCTGACCAACCAGTTGTAGCCAGAGTCTGGTGAAATCACTGTTGTGTCTTTCCTTAAGTGTCCCAGCAATTTGTCCTTTTGATACGAGGCACTGGAGACTTATCAAGTGCTGCGGACCTGAGGACTAACTAGCTAAGGATATGTAAGCTTCAGGTTTCCCCCCCTATAAATATTCTAACTAAAACCACTTTTTCTTAAAGCCTGCCTAGTTGTGATTTCACAAGAGTTTTCTGGTGCACCGTCCAGGCCAGTCATTATTGTGAGGATAAGTCCTTTCCCAATTTGGACATGTAGCTGCTTCCAGGATCTGTTAGTAAAAACAGAACTACCCCTCTCTGCCAAGAGAATTATTGTCAGATGATGTGTTAAGAATCTTGAAGGGTACAGTGAGATGGTCCAACACTTATCTAACCAGAGTTCCTGAAGAAAATAATGGAATAGGTGACAGGGCGACTTTGAAGACATCATGGCTAAGAACTTTCTAGAATTAATAGAAAGGTAGTAGACAAAAGATTGTATACATGAACTGATTTTAAGGATACCAATAACTGCTGAATAGCATAAATCTTATTTTAACTAGGGATGTAGATTCAGCTTTTAAAAAGAAACTATTAAAAATATGGTATGATCTAGTCATTAGACAGATTCACAATGCTGAGGGAGGTTATTGGTCACCTCATGGGAGAGAAAGGGGGAGGTTGTGAAAGAAACAAATCTTGCCCAAAAGGATTCGGTTTGACAAACATAGACAAAGGTCAAGGATTAAAAAATTTCAGGGTGAGTGAGTAGCAGATGTTCAATAGTTACAAAAAAAAAAAAACCTGGGAATCCTTATATTCTGAAGAATGCATTTTATCTTTGCTATGGTGTGAAATAATAACATAAAGAAGTATATAAAAAATTCTGTAAAAGATTTTCCACAAGGAAAATGCCAAGGGAATTTGTGGCATTGTAGAAAAATAGAACATAAAAGTTCCATCTAAGTTGCTCTATATTTGGCCTCATTTAATGACAAAATATCTCAATATATGATGGGATGTTAACATTTTTTCTTCTATAATGTCTCCTTCTAATTGATTTTCTTGTTACAAACTTCATAAACAATATTGTAACATTGCTGTAAATGAAACCTTTTTTAAAAGAATTTATAAGTTCATTTTTACATATTTTTGTGCATTTTTCTGTCTCAGTTGCAATCCCCTTGGGTTTCCCATCACCAAATCAATCCATGTGCCATCACCATAGTCCGGTGCATTTCCCTCCCCCCACTGTTTCTGATCCCATTCCCCTCTACACTCATACCTTTTTTTAATAGAAAACATTCAATTCTCTATCATCTCACATATGAATATTGAAAAATTAATGCCTTCTTCCGTTATTTACCAGCCACATGATTAATCTGTATCGTTTAAGTATCTGAATTGTGGTTTGTGTTTTTAGTATAAGTATTTCTTATTAGTACCAAGTCGATCTCTTTCATATGTATTGGGTCCTAGTTTATGTGAGAGTTTGCTAACGTAAAATGTGACTTTATAAAGTGAGTGGTTCTGATGCCAAAGTTATTTTAAGAAATAATTGTTTTTGATTGTGTCTTCCACTCAAATTTGTCACATAAGAGTCTTACAAGCTCTTGCTTTTGACTAGCTCTTTTAAACACAGTATGACATATATTTAGTATCTTGATGAATAAAGAGACTGTGTGACATTAAAGTCTATCAGTGCTATTTTGGGGTACAACAGGTGGGTGATTGATGTGGAAAGGCAAATGTGTGTTGGGTGAGGGCAAGGGATCCTTATATGGACACATGCTAAAGTATTGGTCGCATTGTTCCTTCTGTGCCCAGATTCAGCAAGTAGGGTTACAGCTTCTGTGATCTTGTGTTTCTAAGACAATCTGAATACTGAAGACAGATCTATCACTATTATCTTGTAAAAGCTGGCAACTCAGTTATAGTAACCCAAAACAAGAAAGTGTCCTGAAAGTAGAGCACTGTAAATATACACAATTTTCCCCCTTTTGCTTTCATAATTCCATAGCCTTATTCTTTGTGATGGGTATGTTCATGCCATGTGTCCTAAGTTGGCATGGAAGTGGAAAAGAATGCTTCTATAGTTTAATTTGTACTTTATACCAAACACTTACTGATCACTACTTTTATATTTGGAGTTAAGTTTAAGATTGCTTAGGTAAAGTTTTAGGAGACTTTGTATAAAGAAAGAAAAACAGAAGGCAATTGGATTGGAAAGGAAGAGATTAAAAACAGTCTTCTTGTGGGGAAATTAGAAGCAATCTAAAAGAACCAACAGAACAAAAAGACAAAACATTAAAAAGAACAAGTCTCGGCCCTCCCTGGCGGTGCAGCAGGTTAAAGCACCGCACTGAGAAGCTAAAGCCAGTACCGCATGAGTTTGATTCCCGCCTGCCCCGGAGGTGACCACATGGCGAGGCAGACCTCTCCTGACCTGCCCGCTGCTCCCCTCAGCAGTGTACTTCGTCCATCTGCCTGTTCTGCTCCCCACTCTGT